TCCTGCTGGCAGAGAAGCAGAACCTGAGCAATAAACTGAAGGAAACAGTGAAAATTGCGTTCCTGAAATCCAAAAATGAAAAACAAAATAAATAAACTTAAATAATAAACACAGAGAGAGAGAGAGAATAAAAAAAAAATTAATCATACCCAATAGAGTGATACAATTGCATGCAACAATTACAGACATGGAAAGCGACAGTAGAATTCTAAAGTGACGAATTGGTCTAAGAATTGAAGCTCAGAGATAACAAGAATAATAATGATAACAAGGAGAATAAGAAGAAATGGAATTGAGATTAAGAGAAGAGAAAAGAGGAAAATGGGAATGGGAGCATAACCGTAGTTGGAGGAGGATCGGAGCGAAGAACATGAGATCAAAGCCTGGAACACTCACGCCATACCAACATTGGCATGCAGAAAGAGAGAGAGAGTAAAAGGGCTAAAAAGAAAATATATATATATATATATAGAGAGAGAGAGAGAAAGAGTGAAGAAAAGGAAATGGCAAGTGAAGAGAGGAAGTATGGTGTTGTGGGGTACCATCACCTTCTAATTTCTCTCTCTATATTTTACCAAAGCTCGTTTATTAAGTGCTTTCCCTAGATCCCTACAATAAAATAAATCAGAAAATTTCTTCAATTTTCTAATCATACTTTTGTAATTATGATTTATGTAGCGTATGAAGTGGGTATAATATTTTTTTTTTCTTCTAAAATTTATTTTTTAGGTTCAGTTTTAATTTTTCAAAAAAAAATTCTTATTTTAGAAATGCACTATTCTTTTCTTAAACTTTAGAGTTATTTTTTTTTTTTTTCGTCCCTGGAGTATCCACCGCCGACAGTAGTGACTAATCTCCTCGCTACGCTGGAGATACCTCAAAGGGTGGGATAGCTGGCCCCAAGATTTAACGCGGCTGCATACACAAGGCAGGATTCGAACTCCTGACCATGCTTAAGCGTGGATGTATAGTCTTTGAAGATAAAAAAAATGATACATTTTTAAATTTGATGTATTGAAATAGGATGAAAAATGTTTAGGGATACTAAATTTTGATTGTTTTTGGAAACTAAAAATATATTTTGTCGATATATTTTATTTAATTAACTTTATTTATTATTTAGTTTGATATAAATTTTAATCAAAAATCATAAATATGTTAAAATAAATATTAATAATACACCTTTTTTTTCACATATTTTAAACACATTTTTTTTTATTATTAGTTATTACTTTCTCAGCATTTATTTATTGTTATATTTTATAAGCATTTTGTTTCTCTTTATTTATCATATTTAAAGTTTAAGAAAAAATTAATTATATTTTTTAATTATATTAATAGCGGTGTAAGCATCTACACGTAATCTGTGAATTCGAACTGACCCAAATCAACCCAATAAATTTGAATTGGATTTTTTCAGTTTTTGAGTCAGACTCAACTCAATCCAATTAAAACCTAGTACTATACGGGTTTTGTGCTTTTAACGCATTATCTGGCCCAACCCAGTCATATATAATAATAATAATAATAATAATAATAATAATAATAATAATAATAATAATAATAATAATAATAATAATGTTTGAATGATCATTTGCTCAAGACAATACTCACGGTTACACTTATTTAGTAACGAGTTTTGTGTTTTAGGTTGATAACATTGTAAAAATACAATATATTTATTTTAAATTTTATTTTGTATTAGTTAATGTTGGATTTTTGAGTTAATAATAATGTAACAAATTAATAAATTTATTTTAGAACTTAATTTGTATCATTGTTTGTTTTATAGATTAGTAACATTGTATTTGTAATAATGTATCAAATGATTTATATCTCTTTTAAAATATTTAGATTTTTACAAAAAAAATAAATAAATTTAATTATGTTAGCCTAATTATCCCAACCCAACCCAACTGGTTCGTGATTGGATTGGATTGGATCTTTAAAAAAAATACACAAATTCAACTTAACTCAACCCATTAAATTTTGATTAGATCGTTAATGGATTCATCCAAACTCAATCAAACCCAACCTGCTTATACCCCTAATTATATACTTTTATTTTCTATTTGAATTTTAATTAATTTATATATTTAAAATTAGTATATATTTATTTTTGAGTAAAAATAAAAACAGGTATAATATTAATAAGAAACATTAAAATTATTTTATGAGAAACAGAAAACTTTATTGCTCTTTTCTAGTCTGTGCATAAAAATCATAAATGACACTTAAAAAAGAACATCACTAACATTAAAATTCATTAAAAACTATAATATTTAAAGATAAAAAGTCATTAAATGAAAAAGTGAGTTTAAAAGTTACTAATTTTAATAATATTTAGTCAATAATAAACATGTTTATTTAAAAAAGTCCAAAAATATTTTTAAAAAAAATATTTATTGAAATTTAAAAGTGTTTAGGCAAACTTTTCTATAATAATGAGAAGAATATAAAAGTGATTTTTTTTTTTCTGTAACTTTGAGTTGCTTCTCAAGAAAAAGAAGTTGCTAGAGTGATAAAGGTTTTAAAAAAGTGTTTATCTTTGTAACTGTAGTCAAACACAAAAACACAAATTAGTATATATATATATATATATATAAGAAATAAATTACTTATTTTAAAAATTACATTTTTCAAGCCCAAACAAATGAAACCAATAGTGTTACATATTAAAAAAAAATGTTGCCCGCATTTCTAATTTCTAATTTTTAATGTATAATAAAATAAAAATTGTCCAACCATTGCCACGTGTCTGTTGAACGATACACAGATATTTTTTTAAAATATAATTTTTAAATCTGTAATTTATCTATTTCATTTTTTTTTTGTAAATTTTTTTATTGTTATTTTATTTCTAATATTTTATAATATTTTAAAAATAATTTTTATTATCA